TCAGGGGTCGCCTCTGGGCTTCGTGTGCTAGGGGCTTATGAGGCGTACGGGACATATAGGATTTAAGGGTTCAGGGTTCCGAGTTGCAGGATTTAAGGGCAGAGGGCTTATAGGGTTTAAGAGTTGAGGGTTTAAGTTTAGGGCTCCGTGAACCTAAGACGCCGAGACAGTGATGTAGGATGAAGTAAACCGCGTTTCACGATTTGCGCACCGCTCTTGCCAAGAACAGCTCAAGCCTAGACTCTGCGACTCCTCCAACATAAATCCTAAACATAATGACGAGCTCAAAGGCAGCAAGAAACCGGCGGGCAATCTGAATCGCACATTAAGCGGGCACCAAGGTCAAGCTTAAAAACTTCCAACCTGAAACTTAAAAGCCTTAAAGCTTCGACCCTAGGCCCGAAAAGCCTAGACTGCAACAGTAATTCCTGAGCCCTAAGTAAGCGCTTTGCCTGAAGGCCCTCCAGCAAAGGAAGCAGGTTCACCAGCCTCAAGCAAAGACAGAATCGGGCGCTGTACACGCCCATGGCTCCCGTGGGTAGGTTTAGGGTTTACCCCTAGGCCCCATAGTAGTTCCTTTTTGGGGTTCATATTCAGAATGCTATAAGGTAATCCCCAAAAGGAACTACTATGAGGCCTATGGGTAGGGTTTGGGGTGTAGGGGTTAGAGTCCCATAGCTCCCATGGGTCTTTGATAGTTTGGAGTGCTTTGGGTTTACGCTCTCGCAACTCGGACTTGCCAGACGAGGTCTCTGTGGTTCGGGTGCACGACTACAGCTACAGCTATACTGCATTGGGTTTAAAATTAGGGCTTAGGGTTTGGGGTACGGCATTTTGGACTGAATGTGTGCGGTGTCCTTCGTTTGGAGAGGTTCTTGTTCAGAAGCCAGCCTGCGTTATCGTAACATGGGACCAATATTTCTTTTAACCACTGCCCACAGACTTGAAACTGAAACCTCACTCGGTTCATCACTGCGAAATACATCAAACCATAGAGTACACTTTTAATATGACCTGACTTCAATTATGTGATCGAGGGCTTTTGGAATCTGCGAATGGCTTGGCACATGCATGAGCCTGTTGGAACTCGGTGGCACTCGTGGTGACAGAGCGAGAGAGCGGCAGAGAGAGAGAGCGAGAGTGTGTGTTTGTGTGTCAAAGTACCGCCATATACTATGCTGCGATAACACCCTAAAAACAGTACATGCTTGGAACCACCTGTACCTTGGCATTCCTGATGCTACGTAAAAACCAAACCGCAAACTCTAAACCCTAAACTCCCCGCCCAACCCCAACCCCCCCCCCCCCCTATTTTCGACCCAGCAGCTCCCAAAGCTCTCCCCGCCGCAGCGCTTCAACGTCCAGGCCTCATGTGCAGACAGCCCGCGGAACCTCTCCGAACCCTAAACGCTAATACCTGAGGATTTACGTGCCAAACCTGTGCAACCTCCGAAACTCGAAAAGCTAGATCTGAATCGGAAACCCAACGAAAAACCCAAAGAAGAGTTTGGGCATAATTCTTTCTGGCAGACTGCATGTGCATGGCGGCATCACGAGCAGATCGAGCCCAGAAAAAAAACACGAGCAGATCCTGGCTTTTCCGAAACCTTGGATTGTAATACCTTTGGGTAGTGGGTTGTTTGGTAAGGATGCCAACATCAGAAAGTAAGGTAGGCAACAGAAGAGGTACACTTCAGCTTGTCGGCAACATAAACCTCTGACTAATAAAGCCCCCCTTCTTTGAGGGCCTTGATAATCGGCTCGCTGCTTCAACCCATCTATAGGGGAGGAAGTCCCGTGGGACAGGAGGCTTTTTATTATGGTTTCGGCGCTCGCTGTCGCACTTCTTGCCTGTGGATCCTCGGGCCACTGTGGGGATGTCAAACCCATGGGTAAGGGTTTAGAGTGTATAGTGCTAGGGCTTACGGCTGAATACGGTCTGCACTCGGACTCTGAGGATTTTTGAACAAAGTGTGAAGGGAACACACAAGTGAAAGGATAACACACTTGATGGCGTTGCGAGTCACTCTTACGGCGGCGCTGCTGCCCATAGGACAGATTCCGAAGGTTTCTATCCGTGTTGGGGGTCCCGTCCTTTCAATCAAGCCCCAAACGTGTTGAAATCAAAATCCAAGGCTTTGGCGCCAATTGTAAACATACGCTGAGCCATGCCTTAGAAGGCCTTTCTTTCGAAACTAAGATTTAGGGATCGTTGAAACATGGCTTCAAACGGTGTCCGTATGCTTCGTGTTTATGGGCATCATCGGCGATTCGCCTCAGCAAGAATCATAACCCTCAAACACATTCACGAAGGCTTGCGTTCTGCATCTGACCATATCTGCGTTCAACAATCAGACTTTGAGTGCTCTGAACTTCGGCAGCAAAGACTGTCAACTAGGTATCTTATAAGCCCAAAAGTCCTATGAGCCTCCTAAGCCATAGACTGCAAAATCTACAAAGAGTGTGAGTGCCAGGTGCCACCTCTTCAGAATGCACCCGAACAGCTCAACGCTCTCTCCAGCTTTGAAGCATCCGACCTCCCCAAATCCCCCAAATTCCACATCACCGAACTCTAAACTCTACTACAGCCCAAACCCTGAACCCCAGGCCCGACCCCCCAAACCCTAGGCCCGACCGAACCGATCTGTCGGGAACCCTGCGCTTAGCTTTGTAGTCCACGGACAGCAGCAGGCTGCCGACAGTTACCTGCGGACGTTCTGAAGGTCGGAGCTAAGCCAAAGAGTACACATTCCAGGCATTCCCTGAACCCTAAACCCTACACCCTGAGCCACGGTTTAGGGTTTAGGGGCCCCTTACTTAGCTCAGGGTTGGCATGGTGTCAAAACGTATAGCTTCCATTCCTTATTGAGTGCACATACGCATAATCATGTCAAGTGTTACCCGTCTATGATAAAGTTAGTTTGTTCCAGAAAGAAACTACTGTAGTCAAAAACCTCTTCGGTTTGGAAACAGTTGCCGCGGACACTGCAATCCTTCAGGTGGGCTCGGAACTGGGTTTGTGGACATAGTTGACCTACCCTGTCCATCTACGGCCCTCCCGCGGCTACCCTTGAACAACAGTTTCCGCATGAAGGGTAGCAGAACTTATGCAAGCTAAATGTAGTTTGCACTGTGGAATTTGGAAAGGGACAAATGCATGCGACAGATCGTACTGGATTTCCAGAATGTGCAAGTACGTAAAGCTCAAACGATCCATGAACCAGGCAGGTCTCCAGTCTTAGAAACACATCGAGGATGTCTAGAGCGACGGTAGAAGAACTCCAGCGAGCTCTATACATATACATATACATATACATATATGTATATATATATATATATATATATATATATATATATATATATACACCGACTTAGAAAGATAGATCGCTCGATAGGCAGGTATATATATATATATATATGTATGCACATACATATATATATACAATATATATATATATATATATATATATATATATGTAGATGTATATGTAATGTATTATGCATAAGGCTGAGCCCTATTCAGTCTACACTTCTTTAGGGGTTTTGGCTTTGACAGTAGTATTTTAACCTCAACCTCTCGTCATCCAAATGCATATCTATCCGAAGATCACAAAACCAATAATGCAGGCAAATTGTGTATCTGATCAAGAAATGCTGTTTTCAGCTCCCTGATATCAGGGTCCCTACTTTAAATAACGATAACACGAGGATTCTGCCATTGACTCATTCCTTGCATTTCCTTGCTGCAGGCAACACCCAAGCTCCCGAACCCTTGTGCCAGCCTAGTCGCACCGGGGCATCAATGATCCGGACAAAGGCTTTAATTAGACTCTATCCTAAGTCCATTATGTGGAGGGCTCGTACGACCATCTCTTACGCATGTTGCTTCAAGTGACCCCAAAACCACCGATGTACTCATTCTGCTCAGAAGATGAGTGGCACAGCTGTAGTAAATTCAACAGCCTGCGCCTGCGAGCGCTGAGTGCTTTAGGGCTTAAAGGTTCAACATATACGAATATAAACTGATGAATATAATAAATATAATGTCAATACCAATACAAATAAACAAAGAAGCAGACGGCGACGCTTTGACAGCTGCTTGCAGCTCCGGTCACCAGGACCTACGCCGCCAGAGGAAACCTTTTCGGCCCCTGGAAACTGTGCAGCTACAGGGTTTTGAGTCTAAGGTTTAGGGTGTAGAGACTAAGTTTTGTTGGTGTTGAGGGGCTGCAATATGGGATATATTGGGCGTTGGAAGGTCTACATGGGTTTAGCATGGTTGAGGGTCATCGGGTTGAGGAAACTGTGCAGCCTGACCAGTGCAGACCGCAGCAAAAGAAACGCCCAAGCACTTCCTGCAAAGCCTCCGGCCCTTCGATCCTTTGAGGGCTCCTTTAGAAATAAGATAGGGGATCCACAGGGGCTTAGTTTAGGGCTCTTTGAGGGTTGAGGGCTTTAGGTTCCTAGGTTCGGGTTTCAGGCTCAGCGTTCTAAAGAGATAGTGGCTACGTAAGGCATGGATTCTCCTCGCGAGCTCCTCCATTGCTTAAGAGGTACACATGCTGCTCTTAGCTGAAGGCCTACTGTTTCAATGGCACGTTTGCTACTCAGAGGCCGAGACCTGGCCGGCTTTGGGAAACAGCGAAAGTGCAGGCTTCGGACGCACTGACTTGAATTCGCCGTTTATGAATACTTCGATTCAAACAGGAAGACCTCCCTGCAGCCCCAAACTGTACAAAAACAGAGGGGCAATACCCACTTAACATAACGTCTTCAATCAACCTGCAAAATCCTGAAAGCTCAAACATAAAGCCCATCGGAGCAATATTGGGCCCTCGTAGCTCTTAGGCCCTCATAGTACCCTTATGAATCTTACTATCGAACCTTCGTTCAGTTTACCTTAACGAGGCGGACAGACAAACTGTTGTGGCCATGCGCTTATGTGCGATGATAGTTGTGGACGATGAGCCTTAGGATTCCTAGACCTCGCCGCCGGGCATTCAGACCTTGAAGCTGCAAAGGCCTTGGCAGATTTAGGCACAGGACTTGTCAAAGTTTCAGGTGCAGCTCTTCATAGGTTGTGGGTTTCGTGAATCATCGCATGTACACACAAAAGAGGATAGCGCCGGCGCGCATGGCGGACGATAACGTCGGCTCGTATGGCGGACGCTTCAACAGCGACGAGTGGGTGTAAGAGCAACGCCACAAACTAGCCGAGCGGACGACTCAGGCGGTATCAGCACTTATGGCGGATACTTGGCACGAAAGCGGCAACCAAGCCCTAGGAAACCGTGAAAGTCTCATCAACCACACCCTTCATCACGAGACATAGGACTTGTCTGGGTCCCGCATCGCGAGCCGAGCAAGAACGGCACGTCTACGTGATTTTAAGCTAGCTTCGTGGTTGGTGCTTAGCTATTGATAGCTACAATCGGAGGCAAGCAGCGCTGCGAAGTCCAACGAAAACTAAGCCCTGTACATGCCGTAGTTACTAGTTCTCCAAGCCACAGAAAGCACTCAAGCGAAAATCCCCAGCCGAGGTCCTGCCTGTAGCCCCCAACCCCTTCCCAAACAGTGGATTATGGACCCTTCAACATAGCAGAGTTTAATCCCAAACCCCAAAACCCTGAACTCCCAGAATGCCGCGGGGGCTCGTGAAAATTGCGCCATCACCGAAGGTCGCTCCGGCGAGCTGTCTCCACTGCTCTCTGAAACCTTCCAGCTTCTCTTTTTTATCGTTTATCAAAAGGGGTAGTTAGTACAGTGCTATTTGGTTCTTTCCTTTTGGGGGTTCTATAATCTGGGCTTGAGGGTTTTTAATGCTACACAAGTCCCGACCCTGGATCCCTAAAGCATAATATGTAGCTTCGTATAGAACACAGTGTAGCCCGGAAGCCCTAGACCCTAAACACGAGCCCGAGCCCCTACACCCGAGCCCTAAGCCCTAGTCCTTTTTTGCATCCAGCCTGCAACGCCTCTGCGTCCTGAAGCCCTAAACCCTCAACCCGAGCCCCAAATCCAAGAGCCCAAAACCCGAGGCCCTAAAAAAAGCTAAGCCCATATCCCTAATCCCCATCATATTCGAGACCCCTACAAGAAAGGCCCTAAACCCTGAAGCCCTAAAGCCGTAAACCCTAGACCCGTGCCTCGGATGATTCCTGGCTAGTGCCCTCGCCTTGCAGCTCCTCGGTTGAAGTGCCCATGTGCAAGTGCAGAATCGCGCGGATGCAAGCATGAATTCAAGCATCTATGGTGCTTAGGGTTTAGGGGTTTAGGGGTTAGGGTTTAGGGTAACCTATAGGATAGCTACAGATGCTGGACCTTCATGGTCGGTGTGAGATATAGGGCTAGGCCACTACCTTTTGGGGGAGGGTCTTGAAGCAGTCTAGGCTTCAATTAAGCCCAATGCTGAAACAGAGGAAGAGGCGCTAACGGTCGAGAAATCAGGCATTCTGCAAGCGCACAGAGAGCCGCACAAAAGCTTGGGCTGAGGAATACAGGCAGCGCACCGAAAGCAGGTTCTACATGGGTCGCCACAGCGAAACAAGAGCAGCCACGAAGAGGTTTCGGAGTTCGCACTATGAAACAAGCGCTGGAGAAGGCAAGGAACAAGCTGAGTTGACGAGATTCCAAGTTTGTTTGACACTCACACTCGACTCGGGCGATGGAGTTGGCGAATGTATCAACATAGAGCCCACGGTGCTTCGGACATGTCTGCATCCTACTCTAGACCAATGAGCTTGAATAATTACGACCACTATTCCTTAGTGCCCCTTGCTTTAAGTAGACTACAGTATACCCCCAAACCCTATTTAAACTATATGGTTTCAGGCCCCTGTGTCCAGACTTGTAACTTGCAGCACCTAACGCCCCGAAAAGCCTGGCAGTGTGCAAAACACCGGTGGAATTCAGCACTAAAATGAAGCATTTCGGATCCCTAACAGGAGCCCAGGAAGCGGACCCCAAACCCGAAACCCCAAACGCTAGCCCAGGAAACAGACCCCCAGATGAAGCCTCCCAACAAAAGTCCATCCGAGGCTCTTCTGTGCGCAGAGTCTTCGACCGACGTTTTCGAATGCCTCCAGTTTGAGCCCAGACTTCAGACTCCTGTCATATAGAGTCCTTACATATCGGAATCGGAATAGTAATTCAGAGGGCTTCTCAGAATCTCTAATTATTTCTTGTATACTTTCCCCCAGTCCCGGGCCTCTCACTGTTGAGGTCCCAACAGGCTCGGTTCAGCATCCGGATAGGCAAAAGAACATATGCAAACACTTGCAAGGGAACATGTCCGACGGTGCCCTGTGACAGAACCCTCATCCCTTTCGATGGTAGGTTTTGGGTACTGCCCCCATACAGTAACAGTCTATGATGGGGCTACTCATAAGGACCCAATATATCTATATTCTTATTATTCTCCAACTGTTACAGAGTGGGGGCAGTACCCAAGGTAGGTTGCTTACTCAGATTGTTCCTTGTCGGGCTTTGGGCTCGGTTTCGGGTTCTTAGGATTCAAGCTTCAGGGCCGGAGTCCTTCTACAAGGGCAAAGTAAAGGGTTTCTGGCGGCTTAAGGAGCTGTTTTGGGTGTGTAAGTCTCGGGCGTGTGAGGTTGCAGGCTGAGAATAGAGCTACGGTGTTGGGGTTTCAGAAATCAAGAGCTCTTGATGTAGAGCATAAGGGCCGTCAAAGAAGGTATCCAGAATTCTCGTTAACTCTTTCCAAAAATCGCTGCTGCGGGAGAGATGTCAACACGTTTTAATACATCTTTCCACAAGCTTCCAATGCTTCGCGTCAGGCCTCGCTACTTCACGGACTGAAAAACACTCTATGTTGAACTATACTACGAAACTTTCAATCCGCTATACGAACCCTTCTCGAAGCTGCTTCATGAAAAAACTGAACTTCGACGGTGTGCGACAATGTGGACCATTATATAAACCCCTAGCAGTCCTAACACTAAACTCCTTGCTATAGTTGCCACTGAACACTGAACGGGAGCCGCTAGTTTCAAACAGCACCCGTTGTGGCTCTGCCTGCCAGCCAGTACCGATTCCAGCTCGCAGGGCCGTGAAAAGCACAAAGAGCGCCCTTGTTTGGTCTTTGTGGTTTCGGTGCTTACACTGGGCCTCTCCAGGCACCGGGGTTCAGGATTTGAATGAGGTTCAGAGCCTCTGGCAGCTTGCAGAATCAGAAAGAAGAAAAACAAAGGAGCGTAAGGTCTTCGGTCAGAACGAACAAAACGATATCGCAAATTCAAGGTCTCCATGGAAGGACGTCTCGGTTTCAGAAACTGCTGTACATGAAAGCTGAACAGTTGTGTTGAATCGAAACTCGCGCGCCGGGAGCCAAAAGCCTAGATCTGGGCTTTATTTGCTCCGGGGTAACCCCGAATCGATTCTTTGCAGAAGGGTGTTCACGGATTCAGGGTCCGTATGCATCGGGTTGCGCAGTTGCCAAGGTTTTCTTTTGGGCAGTACTGCATTTCAAAAAACCGACGAACAAAACTGATGTACCCAATTGTATCTAGCATATCAGAGTTCATGCATGTTCATGATGGGTGCCGAAGTGATCGCAAATGCCATGTGGGGTCGCGGTGAACTCCTGAAAATCCAATACGTTTGAGCGTTGAGCTTGGCAACCGCAGCAGCGAAGAAGAATCGCGAGACGCTCACGGAGGTGGCCGTCCTTGGTGAATCTGACCTCACCTAGAACCCAAAGGGTCCAAAGTACCAATATAGTAGAATGTCGGGTTTCCATATTAGGAATTACTACTCTGATTTGGGGAAGTATTCACCATAACAGCACGTAGGACCCTTTGGGAGAACTGCGAAAGACTTGCCTTATAACCTGGAGACACTGCATTTCGGGAGCCTTCAGGGCATGAGGGTCGAGCACGTGGTACAGGAATCAGAGCTTACTACGCCAGAATCCAGAGTGCAACCTGACGGCAGGAACAGGTCGTTCTATTCAGGGCACAAGCGTCACAAAGTCTGTTTTCAGGAATCAGGAGTGGGAAAGTTCGAGCTTGTCTGCACGACCAGTTGAAGCATAATTGACTGACTAGGACTGAGACGGGATGCAGCAACTTGATGTACATCCTAAGGTGATGGGGGTCACGGTTGAGGGTACCCTAGAGGGTGTTGAGTGTTTAGTGCGCAGCATTTTGCGGAAGCCAAAGAGCTCAACCGCCTAAGCCCTAAAACCCTATAAACCCTTTTACTTAAACGCTAGAATGCCCTAAGACCAAAAAATACCCTGAACCTTCATCGCTGAAATAACCAAAGCAAGAGGCAGCTTCGAGGGGTGAACCTGCACTGCCTTGTCGAAGTCGTCGGAAAAGAGCGCTGTCCTCAGCTTGACGACAAGCCGGGGTCCAGCGCGAATTAGCTTCTTTTCGGTCTTCGAGGTTGCGGGGAAGTTTAGAGTTTAGGGTGTTGCTTTAGGATTTCGGTTTGAGTCTGGGGTTCAGGGTGGGTCGTTCGTCCCAGCTTATAGATTGGCTGGACATGCTTGTTTTCTGGATATGCAACCTCTCCCCAGGGCTCCCAAGTAGAAACCAGCAAGCTGCAAGGGAAGAGCAAGCTTCCGACAGATGGTCATTCAGCGTTAAAACCCATGCCTGGCAAGATGAAACTACTCGCCGTAACCAGGCCACTGCACAGAAGGAGCCTGGCGAAGCCCTCATAAGCAAATCAGGTGAAAAATGTCGTCTTGCCATATCCACTTATCGAAGCAAAACCGGTAGGTATTCCCCAAAGTGTCGAAATAGCAGGTTTTGCCCAGTCGATCCGATGGCAAAACCGAAGTGAACTGAAAACACTCGGCTTGAAGGTATTAGGGTCGAGATGCCCATGGGTTGATGGCTTTGGGTTTAATGTAAGGACCGTAATAATTAGAATAGAGTTTGGGGGGGGGTATATTATACCCAAATTCTAATAAGGAGCCCCCTAAATGGTATTGGCAATTTTTTAGGCCCCTATGTTAGATTGCCCTGAAATATCCACTTGGTGTTGCTTTCGGTTGACCTAAGCTCATGACCGAGGGTCAGTGACAAACACGTGGCTTCATGGAAACCTTGGGCAAACGCCACCACTGTTGGCACGATCATCGAAACCTCAGCTCGCGTGGAGAAGTGTGATCCCCACAGTTGAAGACTTGTGCCGAAGGCCGAAGGTACCCATAAACCCCAAACCCCAAAGACTTTAAACCCTGAGGCTCAAGGAGCAACCCTTGCAGTATCTCAGGCTGCGTACTTGTGATTCCTGGAATCTTTAGTCGTGGGCTCTCAGATGAGCACTGCAGCATGCCATCGGGGCCTTCATAATCAGAATACAGGGCATACTGTAATATCGAATTCTGCTGGACTCGTCTCCTTGGATAGTAGCTGATAGACTCCAACTCCAGAATGGCCCAATCGGGCCACCCTGCATGTCCTAAACCAATCTTTGCAGTTTCTTGAGCAGACGGCCCAGTTCAGCACAAGTTGCCAGCCAAGTAGCCCTACGCTTGTCTTATACTCCCAACTCGATCCCCAAAACTGCACCAGCATTTACCCTGCTTCCCTCCCGAGCTTTGGCATGGGTGTTTCGACGGCTTACGGAGGGTCGCAGTATCGACTCCATCGCAGGCTAATTTTCCCCTGCCCACATTGTCCGCACAAGCGTACACATAGACCTCCAAGTGAACAAACAGCGAGAGGATGCACAACCACACACAAACGATGTAACTTGGCTCGTGGTACAGCGAGCACATAGGGCGGTTCTCCCAGTGAGCTTCGGGACAACGTGCCGATATCCGAGCAGCGACAGCGCACTGAATCCAAATGCGGAGAGCAAACACAGCTCGGTCCGGTCCTCTGCGCGGTGGTTCGAAGATTCAAAGTCACTGCAACATGATGTGTACGACTGCGAAACTACACGAGTTGATACTGGCAGCAGTGGCAAACATCTTCAGTAAAGCCTGCTACGGCGGTTGGTGCCGCCTGTATCTGCGGGCATGGTGGTTCTATGCTAAATACGGATACCAGGATCTTCATTGTATACTGTCGATGGCGACTCACAAACACCCGTGCTGTGTCTTCCGCATTGGATAGAGCAGCTTCAAGAAGCCTTCTGCTTGGCAAGGGTGTCAGTGTAGCAGTGGTGGCTGTTGTCTTAAGGTACTGATGTCAGGTTCATATGTGTGGGATCGCTTCAGGCCTCCGTGTTTTGGACACGGGCTCCGGCTCCAAACCTTCCAATCTCAGAATTTTGACGTCTTGAAGCCCCAGACCTTACCGAAGACGTCTGAGTCGAGAAGATCACTTGGGGTGAAGAAAGCCTGGGCCTCCAAGTTTGGGATCCTTTTCGAGGTTCGGGAAACCTTGCAGCAGCAGTTGATCCTCAGCATGCCAAAGAGTTCCGGCTTAGCTCAAGCAAGGTCATGCAAACACCATAGCCCCCCGTGAGCCCTCCAACAGTTACCTGTCCGATGCAGTTCCTCCTCTTCGCAACCACTCTACTGATAGAAGAAGAAAGTACCAAAGAATAGAATTTCATTGGAGAGTATGGCATAGGTCGTCTCTGATCCCGAAGCGCTGCTGTCCTCGAGTGCAAAGAAACCTGATCGTGAAGGGAATAGCAATCATCGTCGCCAAGCACACCTCGGCACGTCAGAGTGGTTCTCTTGTGTGTGGGTTCAGGTCTTAGCACCGATAGAGGTCCGACTCCTGGTATTCCGCGACGTTAACACTATGGTTTAGGGTTTAGGGTTTAGGGTTTAGGGTGTTGCGCATGGACTTATGGAACTTATAGGTGTAAAGAAACTGGTTGGCGTGGCTGCCAAGTGCTCGGAGAAAATGTCGCTTGGCTCGGCCAACTAGTCTGCGCTCATGTCCCACTAAAACGTAACATGCTGCTGTTGCAGACGCGTCATCTGGAAAGCTTCAATTCAATGTATCTGCATGTTTTTACCTCGAAATGGCTGAATCTCCCCAGTACATGGCGGGAAAGATTTTGCAAATGTCGCAGTTTGGCCACGCCGCCGCGATGGCGCCCCGGTTTGCCACCAAGCCGGGCCATAACTCCAAGCAGTACTACACATTCAGAGAAAAACCACACACAACTAAACTAAACAAACCGCACCCTAATAGATACAGTACTTTCAACTACTAAAGCTTGCTGTTTTGTAAGGCGCCAGAAAGCCTTTCACCCTACATCAAAGAAGGTTGAGGTAATTTAAGGCACACGCACACTCTGCAGCTTGGCCACCACCGCAGAAGCACAGGACATCCACGGTGCCAGGTCTGGCCACAAAATGGCCTTGTGCTGCTCTTGGGGCTTTCCGGGTTCCTTTTAAGGCTTGCTCTAAGGGCTCTGTCGGAATTCTAGTGGACCTTCCGTGGCTTAGGGCATCTTCGGTTCGATCTGAGTCTTGTGGATTGAAGGATTCAGGATGATCCAGGGGTTGTCGGATATGCGGCTCCACGCGGTGTTGGGGGCTTCCACGCGGGTTTTCGCATGTCTAGGAGTTTTCCGACTTGCCGGCGTAAAGGCAGAGTTCCACTGCTTTATCCACCCAGGGCAGGGCGTCAAACCTACTTGACCATGTACCTACAGTCTCCATTGTAGTTCCTTTTTTGGGTTACCTTATAGGATCCCTAATATATAATAATTGGTTAAACCAAAAAAAGAAACTACAATGGAGACTATAGGTAGTGTTTTGGGGCTCACACTCGGACTCTCCAGGGGAGGCAGGTGTCCGTTTTAAACTGGGTTCGGCATTTACGAGGAGCAGTCAGGGTACCCTAAGGCCCCAAAGTAGTTCCTTTTTGGGGTTCATAAATAGAATCCTATAAGGTAATCCCGAAAAGGAACTACTTTGGGGCCTCAGGGTATAGCGACTTTGGCACCAAAGGTCTGCGTGCATATCGGACTCGACGACCTCAGTACAATGACTTGCTGACTACCCCTGCCAACGCCAAAGGACGTTCTAGAATACAACACCCAGACCCCTGAATCCAAAGCCCCCAGCCCTAAACGCAAGACTCGAAACCCTGAGCCCCAAACCCGAAAGACTAAAAGCCTGAACCTCGAAAATGGGCCCAAGCAATCCCACGGTTTGCAAGCCAGAGATCATCGGCGACCGCCGCAGCCGCCGAGGCACCCCAAATGAACATGGCCCAGATGGTGTTACCTTTTTAAGGGTTCAAAGTTTGAGGGCGTAGAGGCTCTTGGGAGTTTAGGGCTTTATAAATATAGGTTTTCAGAGGTTTCTATCAGTGCAGGAGCTCAATGTCTCGAGTTCTGGCTGCCGTGGGGCATTCGCTGCTCGTGGGTTTTGATATCATGGGAGTTACCTAGACTCCCAAAAGTAGGTAAATAATGGCCCAAAACCTATAAACGGCTATAATTCTACATACTTTTGGGGTCGGTCCAGGTAGAACATAAACCAGAAGTATCAGCTTCCTACCAAAGCTACAAATGCTGACCTGCGCTGCACACATGCTTTGCCGTGCTGTTGATGGCTGACATGGTTTGCGCTGTCCCACTTCAGCATGATCGCGTTCGCTGACTCCCGCCAGCCCATCTCAACCCGCCCGAGACAGAAAAACAGGATTACGCAAGATGCTAGGGGGACTGATGCGAGGGTGGGCGCTACAGCAAACTAGGTTGCAAGCTGCCACCGCCTGAAATCTTAGCAAGCGTCATGCCGAAACCACCACTTTTAGGATCCCTGAGAACCCATAGACCCTAAAGCCTTCTGAAATTCAATAGATGTTCGATGCTGGCCAGCTGCAGGTGAGATCCGTAAATCCTGGACTGACATGCTTAGGCAAGGCTTGCCGAGGGATGGGAAGGATGAGGGCATCGTCTGCTTCAACCAGAAACCCCGGACGGTGCAATGCAACTTCAAGCCGAAGCCGTAAATTGCGTCTGGGCTTTACTCCACTTTCTTGCTGGGGAAACGAGCTCTGCGAGCTAGCTAGGTTTTGAATTTCGCATGGTTTATTTTGGGGACCGACATCTTGTCAAGAGGGGTTCGACGGGAAGAAGGCTTGAGGGTGTGTGCTGCCGTTCGAAGGTTTGGGTGTAGTATGTACAAGGCCTTGGGGCAACCATGCTATTCTATACCTAGGTGCACAGGAAACTAGAGGAACACGCAGAAATATTGAGGCCCCCTAATGCCTGAAGGCTTTGTGCAAACTGTTCAAGGCCTCGGTCTGAGTGATAGGGTTTAGGGCTTGGGGATGTTAGGTTTCGGGTTTAGGCTTCGGGGGTTAGCTAGGGCTGTGGATGTAGGGTTCTAAACTAGAGTGGTCTAGGAATCGGGTGCTACAGGAAACGATACTGGCGCATCAGTTTTGCATTTAGCGACCTTGGTGAGTGCGGCGCTTCTGTTCCGGAGCTCGAAGGGTTTGGTCTTGTGGCGGTAGTGGGCCGGTGTTGCAGCGCGGGTGTGCATGCTGTGGGTGTATGAGCCCGACAGGACAAAAATAGAAAAGCCAACCTCTCCAGAGCATGATTTTGCGCTCAATTATATACCACCCTAAACCCTAAACCCTATTATATACGATTCGAAACTGCGAAACCTCAACATCGAACCGCAACCCTGGGCCGCAGCCTGATCCGCTGATCTCGATCCCCTCGTCCCACTCACGTCGAAGGTTCTCCTCAGCACGACAGGAGACAGGGATTGGAAACGCGACATCGGAGTTCTACCGGTGCCTGGGTCATAAACATGGTCAAGGAACCGGTATCGGCATCGTAGAAAAGCGGTCTAACGCAGTATGAATGGGTTCGTGTGCGTGTGTGTATGTAGTAAACTTTCTTTCTACAAGTATATGTGCACAGAGAGCGTGATACCCTTTCCAAACATTCTGTAAACAAACGAAACTCAGTCTATGCATTGAAACTACAATTTGGTTGAATGAGGGCCCCGAGCCCTAAGACATCCTCAAACCCCTGAACCCAGACAAAACCCAATGAACATCCACCCTCAGCCCGAAACCCTAAAAGGGTAAGATTCCTAAACTCTAGGCCCCTGAACCCTAAAACCTTACATATAGGGGCCTTAATTATTAGACTAGGTAGGGTTTGGGGGTATATTTTATTATACTTGTAATAACGAACCGCATCAACCCTATTCCGATTATTAAGGCCCCTCTAGCAGAGTACCTCTTATCTTATGGTAACCCTCATAAACCATTTTCAAGGAACCTCAAGCTGATTTTTAAGGCCCTATAGTAGAGTTCAGCCCAAGAGGCATTGTACGCGCCTGCTATGCTCAAGATCCGGATGACGGCGTCCACCTTCATGGGATCAACTCGGGTGCCCAAAGGCGCTGCCATCCCTAATCACTAAGTAGGAGCTTCCGAAAATAGGGGACCCTAATATAGTACCCTAAGTAGTAGGATCATGTTTATAAGGACCCCCAAAATTAAGGTACCCCCAATTTTCGGAAACTCCCCCAAAAGTTGCTCCTAAACCCCTCAACCCTAAAACCCCAAAGCGTCCGACCAAGAACCCCCGAGACTCCCCCAGAGCCCTAACGCCACAAATGATCCCAAATCCCAGTTCAGGGTTCAGGGTTTCGGGTTTAGAGAAGGACGGTTTAGGGTTTAGGGTTTAGCGTTTCGGGTTTAGAGAAGGACACCCAGTACCCAAGCCCCTTCAGCCAGGAGGTCGACGTACGAAGGGGCCATTTTAGGTCCTTTTACGGGTGGGTTTCTCACCGGCTCAAAACCCAGGGAAATAAAGGCTGAAACTTTCAGAATCGACTACCTTATAAGAGCCCCAAAAGTTGAGCAGTTGAGTTTGCAGCCAATAAGGCTTAGTGAAGTTTAGTGGTTAGTTGTAGCTTCGGGGCTTGGAACTTTCGGGGGCCAATCGGATAGCGGCTTCCTGCAGGTGTAAACCTGCTATGGGTCAAGGTGACAGGCTTTAGGTTCGGGCTCCGGTTTCAGGGAACTCACGTACCCGGGAGCCCTGAACCTAAGCATGGTCCAACACCGTCCACACGACGTGGAAAACAAGGCTCATCAACATCCTGCACACAGTTTGACGATGTTGGGGCAATAAGTTAAAAGAACCGGAAAGACAACAGCAGAAGTGGTGCTGATAGTGAGAGTGATAATGGTCATGACGTCACATGACAGTACTGCATGCCAGAATGCCCTGTCAGCATGCTAAGAAGTCTACTGGCTCCAGAGTTCAGTATATACTGTTCATGCGAACAGTGGTTGTCATGGTGGCATTGAATGCCAAAGTAGCACGAAGTCGCCTGTACTCCTCGTCTTACAATGAAAGCCAAGCCATTCAATTGGTTCATCCAGTAGTATTGGTAATAATTTCGGCCTCTACAGCACTCAAGAAGACCTGGCCTGGTCTTGCACACTTACCGAAAATGACACAATTGGGTCTTCGGTACGCGCAAGACCCTTGAGCCCCCCTCCATCAAAAAAGAAAACAATGCTTAACGTCATAAAGCCCCTGGCAAAACAGCTGACAAACTCTCCCAGAATTTCGAAGGATATTTACGCTCCTGCAGCAAACAAACTTCATACGCCCCGTGAAAAAGAACTTCAACATGCACCAAAACCGTATAAAGCCCTAGTAAACCACAGTATGGACACAGAAATCCCTTTGGTCGTCACAGCCTCCGATTCTTTGCCCTCGATTGCCCAGCGGATCCGCTCTTCGTCCCTGGGGTTGGAGCACCGGGCCTCAGTCGATGTCCGGTAAAAATAGTGATAGGGATAATGATAATAGTACTAGGCATCGTCATATAATAATCATGTTTTTTCAGTGTTTCTATAGTTGCATTCAAGGGTTTCTCCCAGGGTTTCTCAAGTTTCGGGATGAAGATCTTTAAATCGAACGTCTGCAGTCGACAGTCCATTTATGCCCGGAGGCACCCCTCCCCCACATGGCCGCTGCAACATCCAAGATCCAAACTCTACCACAGCAGGGCCGAGTCCCAGGTTAACAGAGCCTCAAACTCTGAACACCCATGTCCATGCAAAACCCCCAAAGCGCTAAGTAAGCCCTATATTGATTCCAATGTACAAAAGTATTACTACTCTTCTTGAGCTCAGAGCTTTAAAGTTATGAAGACCCCTAGTAGGTTTCCCAAAGACCAAACCCTGCGAGCGGCATTTCGCACCGAGTCGAAGTGCAACATTTCCCTTTGAAGCAGTAGTTCCTCCCGAAGGAGCCAAGCTCCGGATTCATAGCTTGTTTCTTTTTGTATGCTGTTTTCGCGGGGCTTCGGTTTGGGGCCGAGGGCTTCAGAGTTCCAAGTTTGCCCGGGGCCACCACCTGTACCCCCCTGAAGCCGAGCCTGTTTGAAAAGGTACCTTCTGCAGAACATCAAGGGACCCGCCATGCAGCCGAAACGCGAACGCAAACACGAAAACTCAACACCTTCAACCCGCTCGGGTTGTGGAAACCTTGGTATCGAGATCGGAAAATCGAGTGGAAGGCATTGCTTAAACCCAGCTCCCGAATCCCCAATCAAGAACTAGGCACTTCAGGTTGTGCGCCCGTTGTCCTTGCAAGCCTTATAACAACCAAGTTTCTTCAAGCTTCACAGAGAGCGATCGAGTACACGAGTGAAGACTACATAGGAGTTTCCGAAAACTAGGGGTACCTTATTTTGGGGTCCTTATAATCAGGATCCGATTTTTTAGGGTACCATCTTAGGATCCTCTATCTTCGGAAACTCCCACATTGTGTCAAAGGCTCTTGGCGGCTTTGTCCCGAACCCACCCCGCCTCACCCTCGAGGTATACCTGCCCGAACAATGCCACGCAGGCGGTCGATATCCTGACTCCACATTGGCTCAGAGTTGTTGCTCAGCTACCAGGGGTTCGATTAATGCAACCCCCTGATTGGTAAACCCCGTCCCTTTGTAGGACTAATGGTAAGCAAGCCAAGATTAAAGCCCTGTAAGACAAAGGTAATCAGGGGGACTAGAGTAAGGATTAGAGCCCTGTAAGATAGAGGTCATCAGGGGGCTGAATTAAATAACCAAAGCTTCAACACCAAGAATCAGGCAAAGACCCTCGGTTTATCAGCTTCAAGGACCGCTGCCGTCCTTCAAACCTCAATAGTTAAGGGCCGCATTCATCAGATCGATCTTCCTTAGGGTTCCTTGACAGGACTGGTCCGAAAAAAAAAAAAATATATATATATATATATATGCACATACTCCAATACCCCATACTTTTACTGATTTGAACAATGTTCCCTAGGGTTCCTTAATATCCGTGTAGTTCATATTCCCCAATACCCCATTCTACTGTTCAAGGTCCAAACCCAAAGATTTATGAAGGGCCTGAGGAGTTCCGGGCCCTGGATTAGACTCCTTGCCCTAACTCTTGTGTTTCAGACCCCCTGGAGGATCCCAAAAATAGATCTCTTAATGGGGGGTTCCTAGAAAGTACCCTTAGTAGTATAGGGCCATATAGGGCCCCAAATTAGGGGATCTACTTTCCCTTATTGCGCAGCTCCAGTTTGGGACCTCCGATGAGATGATGAGGGGTTCTGGGCTCCAGGAAGTGCAAGAACAGTTCTTCTGCACATTTGTGGTCAGGACGTCTGCATTAGAACTGTATTTTCCAAAACCCGAATCGTAATTCCAGTCCTACAGCGGGAACTCCAAAAGCCGTGAAATATGCTTATGCAGGCGCAATCCCCAAGTGCTACGAAATAATGTTGTGAGCCCCACGAGCACCCTAACCCTGGATGACCCCTAAATCTCTCCGCAAAGCCGTGCTGGAGAACAAAAGGGGAGTCTAAAAAGGCACCTACACATAAACCTGTGAAGGTATCTTGGGGTTACGAATTTCTGCATGGTGATTGGCCTTAAGGTGACGTACAAGTGTTAGACGTTGGAACTTAGAATCTTTCACCAGCCAGGAGTAGATGAAACTTTTGCGGCACTTTTCATACCGAACCAAATCGAAACTTGACTCTTCGACACAAGTCGATAGATGCAAAACTTTGCTGCTTGGGAGGCCACTACATTAAGATCTCGACTGTCGTCCTTATGACTGCTTGGAAAAACTTGTAAATAAACGCGTTGACCTTTAAGTACCAACCATTCATTCGAAGACCCCATCACTTTGCCGCCAATGTGCACGGCCATGTTGCCCGGCACGCCGAAGTGCAAAAGGAAGACCTCAATAGCCAAAGCAGGGCAAAGAAAAAACAGTGATAGGGTCCCCACGCGCGGCAGCAGAATCGCAAAACAGTCCAGGTAGATGTATGCACAGGGTTGTTTGAGAGTGAACCAGGACTTGGAGGTGTAAGGCCGGGTTTCCTTGGGTAATGAGATCCACATGGGCGTGGTTCTGATTCGAGCGGCGGCAAGCTGTACGTTGCAGTAAGGCTGCTTCACTTGCGAATCTGCGAACAGGATGTAAGTGAAGCTTTGCCAGCCTGTAACCGCCGGCCCTAAATTAAGGCTTGCTTTTGGGGTTTCAGGCTGAAGGGCTCAGAATAGAAGCTTTTTGTGAGGACTGCTTTCGAGCTTTGCTCCGTTCGATCGATTGGTCATACCCTGTGTCATAAGTAGTTTTCGACCTGTGCACTCCACTACACTTGTTGAAGCTCCCGCCACCAGAGCCGAAAACAACAACAGAAGAACAACCCGAAGCTGGCACGACAGGGTGAGGAGCTCGACTAAAACGCTGTGATCTTGCTGGTCCTTTGCCACGATGCTCGGCAACAGTAGCCTTGCGGGCCTTCTGTAAACCGTAAGCAACATCATCCGGGGCCCGGTGGTAGGCACTGGTCCCTATACCCCAGGCCTAAACCTCCCAAGTTTGCAAATCTCATGTCGCCCCCTAAACCTCCCAAGTTTGCAAATCTCATGTCGCCCGGTGGTAGGCACTGGTCAATATACCCCAGGCCTAAACCTCCCAAGTTTGCAAATCTCATGTCGCACGTGTCAATTGTCGCAGAGAGCCGCCCCAACACATCCCGCAGCCCGCAAGATGTCCCCAGCTTGTTCATCTTCTTCCAGGAACATGGCATGGGGTGGCGGGCTATAACCGCAATCTGGCGTGCAAACGGTGGAAGCAGGGTGCGAGTGGCTGTCAAGGCATGCGAGAATGAACCGTTGGTAGGAAGCGGGAACAGAAAAACACTCCTGGCTGCCACTACTTGCTTCATGAGGAGAAAAAACAACTCGTGCAGTTTCTTTTAGATAAAGGCAGCAGCAAACAGCGCAGGTAGTTCAAAGCCGTGAAATTACAGTAAGGTTGCTGTCTTGACTCCCCATAGGTTGACGGTTCAACTGCTCAAGTGGAAGGTATCCAAACGGGCCGTGTTGGCGCATGGTGGGAAAGGGGATTGTACAAACAAGCCGCACATTGTGATTAGTTTGTTCTGATCTCGCTCCCGAAAATGCTGGCTCGTTCTCTATTCCTACTCTGCTGACAAACCTTCAAGCCCCCAACTCCAAACCTCACAACAGAAAATGCCCTTTGGAACCTGGGACTCCGTAGATGCTCTCCATGTCCCTCTCTCCCTGGACCCGGTACCCCGAAACTTTTCCCTACTGGAATCCTCCGGGCTTCTCAGTTTGGGGTGGCTCAGATGCAGGGGTCAAACAGAGCTCCACATTTCGTCAGAGTTTTAAAGGGTTTAAGGTTTTCCTCTGCCACCAAGGGCTTCACAAAGGCTCGACTCACAAGGGTTTCTTCTAGTCCCAAGAACACAATACTTGCGTCTTTGGCCTTAGCGGTAGTAGTAGTAGTAGTAGTAGTAGTAGTAGTAGTAGCAGCAGCAGCGGCAGCAGTAGTAGTAGTAGTAGTAGTAGCAGCAGTAGTAGTAATGTATACGCACAGGATAATTCGGTAGTTGGACCCGCGGGGGCAAGCCATCGGAAATTCTGGTTAGTAGGTTCCGGACGCAAGCCGACCAGTCCGAAACCCTAAAATCTAAAGACGTCGCAGGGGAAGTCAGAAGGCAAGAACATCCAAAATCAAAAGCCTACCAAGCCCCCCAACCCCTAGCACGAATCCCTCTAGACTCTAGCCCCTGACCCGAACCCCAAACCCTTGCCGGAACCCCACAAACCCAAGCAACATTATTATATAACCCAAGGAGGACACAAGTCGTACCTCCCGCCCCCAACCCTGCAAAATCAATTTAGTGAAGACCCCATCAATATAAGATTGTGTGGGCCTATGAGGAGATATAGATATAGATGCACACATAGACCAATAGATTGTCAGGTAGATAGGTCGGCAGATAGGCAGATGGATACATGCGATATAAATATAAATACAAATATAAATATATAAATATATAAATATATAAATTTATAAATATATAAATATAAATATAAATATATATATATATATATATACACACACAGTATACATATGTGTATATATATATATATATATAATATGTATGTGTAATATACATATTGAGTTATACATGTATGTATATCTTTGCGCATGCCTTGATTTACGAACCTCTTGTCCGAGGATTTGCAGGTTGGGGCTCATGGATGCAAGGTTTAAGGGCTTAGGCTTCGTTCAGGGTGTGCAAGAACCCACAAGGCCCCAAGGCCCTCGAAGGCCCCGATCCCGGAAGCTCCTTAGGCCGTTTACCACAGCCCAAGTCCCTGAAACCGAAGGCCCCAGACCCTGCATGTACTAAAGCCCCAGTCCCTAAACCGGAAGTCGCTAGGCCCTTAGCCCCTCAGCTCTTTCACTAAAGCCCCCGGTCCCTAAAACTGAACCCCCCCGACCCTTTTCAGCATGGGCTTGGATTGTGTGCCAGCGAACACTCCTCAACAGCACGACCCTACACCCTAAAGCCCTAGACCACTAGAGGCGCAGGTTTTAGTACCACCTTGGAGCCCTAATGATTTGAATAGAGGTTTGGGTGTTCTATGAGAATTACTGTATAATCATGATAAAGAACACCAAACCACGGCTGATGTTGTAAATCCTGCATTACCCACAAGAAGGAATAGACCATGATTCGCACAGCCTAGGGTCATGAAGGCAATGCAGGATTTACATCAGCACCCCCGTGTATTAGTTTTGAGTTCCGAGCCCCTGAGCCCGTTAAGTTTCTTAATCAACGCAGCCTCGGGTCTAGCGTTTAGGGTTTAGGGTGCCTGGAGAGTGGAGCTAAAACCCTGACACGAAAAGCGGAGTAGGAGAGTTTAGGCTTTACGCTCTCGCAGCTCGGACTTGCAAGACGAGGGCTTTAGGCTCTTAGGCTTTAGTGTTTAGACTTCTAGGGTTTCGGCGCTCACACTCGGACAATCCAGGCGAGGCATGTGGTTTGGAGTCTGACGAGTGAAACGCGTCTAGGGTTTAGGGATTTCGGGTTTACAGCAGCGGCCTAAATAGTTGAAATGGGGACAGTCGTTCCTTTCCGACAGCTCGCATCGGGGTTGGAGTCTCAGGAAACGAGAGACCCTTATCCCCATATTCTATCCCCTCGACCCCGAATCCTGCAGGTGACGGAGGCCTGAAACCATCCTCCCATATACTACCCAAAGGCCCCAAAGTAGTTCCTTTTTGGGGCTCATATATAGAATCCTATAGGGTAATCCCCAAAAGGAACTACTTTGGGGCCTCTGGGTATACCCTCGACCCAAAAGTGGTAAGGTTACGGAGAAGATACGCCCCGACAGGCCAAGAAGCATACCAGTACTCGTAGCCCAAAGTCGCGTGAAACCAAGGCATCACAAGGGACCAGCCTGGAAAGTCTAGACGTCCAGTAGCCCATGGGCCTGCAATAATTAAAAGGGGTCAAAAGGGTGATTTTAAGGGACCTATAAGGGTAATATAATATAGGGGCCTTAATCATGATCATTATTATTACCATGGGTTTTTGGGGCCATTGTACTATAAGTACAATAAAAAGTACGACAAGCCATTCAAAGGGATACTATAAGGGATCTATAAAGAGGGTACTATATAGTATATAGGGCAATTACCTATACTGTTTGGGGGGTTCCTTATTATGTCAAGCCTACAAAGTGAAGGTTCGGGCTATACGGCTCTGAGTTTCAGGTTGGGATTCGGATTTATGGATTTTGAGTTGCAGGCCATTAGCAAAGGGTCGGTAGGGTGCAGTGCCTCTGGCTTACTTAGCCTTTGATGTCCTGCAACACATGGGGGTGTAGGATTTATGGTCTACCTGTAGGCCGCAAACCTCAGGAAGTAATAGGTTCAAAACCTTGAAATAACAGGCTTCTGGCTCGACAGTATCCGCGGGCAAGGTTCGTGGGGCACGGCCAAAAACCCTGACCTAGTTATGGAGCCTTGAAAAACTCGTAAGCTTGATTACAGTCCTTATATGAACTGTATACATACACATGAATAATCAATCCCTACGCTAGGCCAAATACCCTAAGTCCCAAACCTTGGGCGCGTGGCACTTAGGGTGTCGAGGGTCGCGGGGTACAAAATTCTTGGGGCTTGGGTTTGGAGCTTCGGGCGTGAGGGTTTAGTCTCGGGCTGACTAAAGGGCTTCGGCACTCACACTAGGACTTTCCAGACGAGGCGAGACACCGGGTTCTCCTCTAAGACACCAGCCTAAAGGTTTCTGTGGGTGTTCGGTTTCTTCAGTTTAAGTTCTAACTACTGGGTCCGGGCTGTGCTGGGAGGCCATTTGAAGGTCATGTTGGGGCTTCCAACAAATACTATAGGGTACGCAAGCGAACTGGAGACTTTTCACTCTGAAATATATATGTCAAAGCTACTGGCTAATGTCCTCTGGTCTTCTATACAAAATTAAGGAGTACTGTGTTTTCCTGTCCATATTTATAAGAATGCTTGCAAAACAGGCCCGGCAGCCGAGAACAACGAAGAAGATGAAGAGGTAGTAAATCACGGCCATGCACGTGGTGAACCTTTCTTACAATTGACGGCTTTCATTAGACACGGGCGTCAATAATCAGAATAGGGTTTTGGGTTACACTACATTAGACTATAATTGTAATACGGAACCCCCGATGTAGTATAGGTGGTTATTAAGGTTCCTATAATTCGGTTAGGAAAGGGCTTCAATCCAGGGTTCAGGGATGCTTCTGCGCCCCGCCACTAAGTCTCATTCCGACCGCGACTCTTGCGGCCGGAGGGCTGAGCGTAAGGGGTCCTTCATAAGGGTTTTGGGGTATCTCACACAAAATTTATACTGTGGTATGTATCTTTCACAACAATTAGACTCGTAACAAGCATCCAGAATCCGAAAGCCAACGCCCTTGAGTCCTGACTTGAATCCGAAGCTTCCCGAAGCCCGTAATTTCGAAGCCGTAGATCGAAACCCAGCACTCCTCGAAAACTGAAGTTCAATACAAGGGGCCCGAAATACGTCGGCTCATGGTGTTATGGATTTGTTATGTTTCTGTTGAAGTAGTGTCATTTCGGCCCCAGTCATCAATATTCCTAAGGAGCCCGACAACTCTGACCAAAATCCTCGACATATTTTTTTCAGCACGGACTGAGGTGCCGGCCAGCGCCCACGAAACTTGCAGCCCCACTTTAAGGCAAGAGTTCGAAGGAAAAGCTGTAGAACACAACGGACTGAAGCTTAAGCTGAAGATCCCTCGAGAGAAAAGAACAAACGCAATCACTGCACCATCTGTTCAAGTATAGAATACTGATGCTCATCCACGTGCTCGCACAGCAAAGCTTGACGATGTTGTTGCCACATCAAGGGTTGCAAAACCTAAACCCCGATAACACCTGACAGAAACGCCTTGAGGAAGCCCTTAAAATACCCTTGGAGCCCACTTCCGAAGACTCTGTCGTCTGTTTGGCCAAGCCGCTCGCCATCTGGGCCCCTGGGATATGAAAGGGATGCAGGCCATGCCGAAACCCTGAACTCCTAAACCCCAAAACCGTGAGGGTCCTTGGCTTCTCTTGGCTTTTCAGGTTTAAAAGATGAAGATTTTCGACCTAGCGGTTTAGGGGCTATGGCCAGGGCATCACATCGACTTCTTCTTGTGGTTCGTGCACAGGACCGGCTTAGCTCACGGGAGCGGTCTTTCTTGGAGATGTCGTGATTGGATCTAATCAGGGGCCTTCATGATCAGAATAGGGTTTCGGCGCCCATTATACTATAGTTATAATAAGGAACACCAAATCGGTATTGGCAATTATTTAGACCCTTGTATGATCGCATGGGAGATCCGTCAGCCTTGCAGATGTGGCTGTAAGTTAGATTTTGGGAGCCGCTGTTGCGTGGGCATGATAGGTCTGAGTAGACCACTTCATGGAGTTTCAGATGCTCTCGAGGATGGAAGCAAGTATTAGCTGACACTGTGCCGACTTTTCTGCTTAGAACTGGGTCTCGGGCTCGTATAATTGCACACGACTGTGAAGGAATGTTCTTACCCATCAGTCGGGCCGCAAGAACAGCCACAGCAAGAAGGCAACAAGTTCAACCCCGTCGAAGAGAGGGCTTCTCAATGAGTTTCTCCAGACTCTCATATTCATGCCTGTTGTGGCTGTGAGTGCGGGTTTAGGGTCTAGGAGACACCAGACATTGGCGTTAGGACGTTTCTGGTTAGATGGTGGTCGAAGTAAACGCTGCAAAGTTTGCCTCCCAATCCGCAGATACCACATGAGAGTTTCCGAAAATAGGGGACCCTAGTCTAGTACCCCAAATAGTAGGACCCTTATTTACAAGGACCCCAAAATATGGTACCCCGAATTTTCGGAAACTCCCACATCACCCAAAAGCTCCAGACCCAAAGTCAAGGGCTTGACCCCTAAGGCCCACCTTAACCCGGAATAACCTACCATTTTAGAGTTCCTTATGATATTTTCCTTACATAAATCCTTAAGAAGGTAGGTTCTTGCGGCTTAGGCAAAGCCCCAAGAGCTAGACTCAACGGCTCGAGCTTACTGTCACTATTGCCATTAGACCTACTATTACTACTATTCTTACTACTAATCAGTTAAACTATCATCATCAGTATTACCGCAATTATTGTCATCTGTAATTGTTGTTATTCTTATTCCTGCTATTGCTATTCGTATTATTGTTACAGTACTGATGCTACTACTGCCTGTAACCATTTACTATTGCAAAGGCAAGGATCGAAACTACATTGGCGGCTGCCATAAGTAGGATGCCCAGGGATGCCCACTCAATGAAGCAGCCTTCGACTCAAGGTTTGGGGGTTTAGGGTATTTTTTGACATTCGCACTCGGCGATACCAGGCAAGGTCTGAGTATTAGTGGTGTAGTTTTAGGCTTCAAGGTAAACTTTTCGGAGAAACGGTGCAGGGTTTTGGCACTTCTCACGGTTTAAGGGTTGGGGTTCTGTATAAGGTTTTGGTTTCTTTTGACGGTTGTGCAGGATTTCGTGGGATTCCGGGCTGCTCTGGGGTCGTCTGGTACTGGGAGCTGAGGGTTCTCTGATGCAGCAGATTGCTTAGGGATTTGGCGCTCATGACGTGTCAACAGGGCTTTCTGGACCCAAGAGTAAGCTAGGAATAAAAAGGGTGCCCTTTTTGGTTTAAAAGGGGGTTATAAGGGAACCTAAACCGTAAAAAGGGGAACAAGGGCCTACTCTCGGTCCTAGCTTTTGTCGGATCGCAGCTGAAGCTGCAGGGTTCAGGGAGGGAGACGACGTGCAGGGCTTGTGTTCAGCGATACGCAAACTTGAAGTCCTAGGCAGCACTTATATATATATATATATATGTATAATATAATATAATATAATATAATACAAAATAATATAATATAACGGTTTAGGGTTTAAGGTTTAGGGTTTAGGGTTTAGGGTTTATAATATAATATCATATAATATAATACAAAAAAAAATATAATATAATATAATATAATATAATATAATATAACATAAAATAATATAATATAATATAAAATATAATATAATATAATAAAATATAATACAATATAATATACTATAATATATTATATTATATTATATTTAATATAATATAATATAATATAATATGATATGATATCATATAATATAATATAATATATATTATTATAAACTATATTATAATATAATATAATATAATATAATATATTATATTATCATATAATATGATATAATATAATATAATATAACAAAATATAATATAATATATTATAATATAATATACTATAATATAATATGATATGATATCATACAATATAATATAATATAATATAATATAATATAATATAATATAATAATATAATATAATAATATAATATAATATATATATATATATATATATAGATTTCTTTGCTTCGGATCATGGGGCTCATCAAATCACTCATCAAACCACAGTCAAAACGCGCATGCTCTCAGCTTTGAAGCCTTAAACGGCGAAGCCCAAACGAGCCATGAAACTAGCAAAGGCTTGCTGCAGCTGGGATGCTCCAGAGAAGAACCTTGGTCTCTATCTCCCTGGTAAACTGCTTCCGCACGACTTCCCTCGGAGACGCTGCTTGCATGGCTGAGCCGGGATTGAAAGCAACAAACCTTGAAGTGTCGCTGGCAGCATCTGCAGCAGCAGTGACTAGCGCGCCCACGCGTCCCCAGCATCAACCACAATCCTGTGGTGACCAAATTATATAAAGCAGCATCTGCAAAGCAACAAAACACAAAGTAAACCTCCTCCTCCTGCCGAAGCAGCAGCACCACCACCACCACCACCACCACCACCACCACCACCGCCGCCTGCAAAGTGCTATTGCGACAGCACCAGCACCAGGATCAGTGCCAGCACAAGCAGCACGCGCACACCACCACCCATGCTGACGACGATGGTGGTGGCGATGGTGATGCGATGTTGTGGCGGTGGTGACCGATGGTGATAATGATGATGCTGGTGATAATGCTGATGGTGGTGGTGATTAATGATAGTGATGATGAGCATGCCGGTGACCAGTATATTAGGAGCCACAGTTTCTCCCCAAAGTTGGACTTAGCATAATGCCCTACCGGAAAGCCTTGAAGCTGAAGCTGGCATGTCAAGCTTCTACTACGGTATGTTCGGTGGGAGCCACCAGCGACACGGTGCGATGTATATTCTGTCCACGTCTGAAAGCAAAAACCACCGAACTCCAAAGCTTATAAGGTTTGGGTGTAGTCTTAGTGCAACGACTCTTTCAAATAAGATGTAGCGCAGTAATAAAGTTCGTCTGAGCAAGAACATTCAAGGATGCAACGCATGCACCAGTACCATCACAACTTGTCCCGAACCGCAAACCCCAGCCAAGCCACCAAAGGAGTCCCAAAAGCAACCCTAGAATGATGGGAAGTAGCACCGTCCTGGCAGAAGGTTTGCAGGGATTGGGGCTGTGGGGGTTTAAGCCTTTCCAGCGCTCACAATCAGAGCTTTAGGGTTCCGACGACTGGGATCAGTGCTCGGCTCAGGTTCGGGTGCTGGGTGGTGGTGAGTGTTTTAATGGCAGATTCCCGCATCACCTAGTGATTATACAGTGATCATTCGAACGGTTTAACTAGATTGGATTTCGCCGTATTGTAAGACTTCCGGATGTTCATGTTGAGCTGCGAGGCATACACTTTGTAGAGCAAAGGCACGGCTGCACATTAACTCCTAGGAACGTGCAGAAATGTGCACAGTTGTAAAGACAAGACCTGCAAATACTGCAATCGAATTGGGTCGAGATCCCTGTTGGCCCTCAAGAAACCCTGGTCCGGCAAAGCAGTCGTCGCATGCGTGTTCACTATGCAATACTCGTCAAAGCTTTTTACGTGAAAACCCATCCACAAAACCCCAAACCAGGCCTCTAAACAAACCAGACAGTCGTAATGGTGTGTGTTGGCAGCACAATCACTCTGAGCTCAAAGTCGTAATAATTTAGGGTTTAGGGTTTAGGAAATAAAATCTACTCCCATTGAAGCCCGAGCCTTGGCAACCCGAAGTCGCAGAACCGCTTGACCCTGGGCACCCTCTGCCGGCCTCTTTTCGAATCAACATAGAAGCCTGAATAGTTCATAACTTATACCTTAGGGCTTAGGATGGTTTAGGGTTCGTTGTTATGACTTTTGCTAAGAAGCCCGAAAACCCTGAAGACCCTTCCCGAATCAGATTCGCTAACGCAGACCTACACGGCGTAATTTGCAAGCTTCCAGGAGCCCACGTAGAACCCTTCGACCCCTGAGTTTACCTTGCACTACCAAAACCTGCCGTTGCGTATGTCACAACAAGTTCCATATTAGGGTTCATACTAATACGAACCTACAAAAATGTTGGGGTTTCACGAGATCAACACCTATGACCCTCGTCTCCTGATCATCACGCGCTTCCTCGCCGAATTTCGCGGCTTCACCTGCGCATCGCAAACCAAGCCTTAAACCTCAAACACCTAGACCCGGAACTCAGGAACAGGTCTTGCTACTTTGTGTCTCGCTTTGGCTTGGGCAGTCTCTCTCTCTCTCTCGCTCTCTCTCTGTCTCTCTCTCTGTGACTCTCCCCGCCGGCTCGGGATCACATAGTACAAACACGCCAAGCATTAAACCTGACCTTTCAACTGTTGTGTTTGCGAGTTTTCGTTCAAAGTACGGGCTTTGCCTGGGACTATCAAAACCTACTAGCACCCGCCCCTGCAAGTTCTACAGAAGGGTTTCAGATTTTCAGAGAATCCCACAAAAACTTCTTGTGCTGGACTTAGCAGTCCACTGGTTTGACTTCGGCATTGGGTAGAATGCGATGTAATCACACAGGGACGACAAGGCGACATTCCTGCTAACTGTTCAGCCCATGACTTCGGCTATACGAAGCTACAGGTGATGCTGTGTGGTCAGGTCCTGGTCTTCGAGTCTCAAACCCCCAGGTCCGTTGGGCTTTGCGTTTGGTTTACGACATTGCGTTTAAGATCGACGGTTTGGTCTAACTACGGTGAACGCATTTAATAAGAAATCGTTTCAAACAAGAAATTGGGGTCTCGCTAGATCGCAATTTCTTAGCTCAGCGTCCAGATGTCACGGAATTTCTTAATCAAACAACCCCCCAACCCTTTCACCTTCCAGCCTCCAGTATCCACCAACCCAGCCCTCCAAGCCCTCCAAGCCCTCCAAGCCCTCCAAGCCCTCCAAGCCCTCCAGCCCTCCAGCCCTCCAGCCCTCCAGCCCCTCCAGCCCCTCCAGCCCCTCTGGAGGCTGGAGGCTGGAGGGCTGGAGGGCTGGAGGGCTGGAGGGCTGGAGGGGCTGGAGGGCTGGAGGGCTGGAGGGCTGGAAGCAGCACCAGTCGCGCCGCAGCACCAGCTCTTTTCCAAGAAGCTTCAATGGGTTCGACTTGCAAGTTCAAGGAGTATAGTAGAGTAGAGGTTAGGGTTGGGATACTGTTTTAGAAATCCAATTCAGACCCTGAACCTATCTCACATTTCTAATTTCCAGGTTGCCCCCATAAGAAATTTCCAGGGTCTGATCTCACCTGCGCCGTTTCTTATCGAATGTATTTGCCGTAGGAGCGAAGACTCAGGGATTGGGGCCTATCGGGCTCAGGGTTTACGGATTAAGCGTCAAGGCGAGGTTGGTGAGTTCAACAAGTGGTCAACTAATCAATCAATCAGTCAATGTAACTGAAAAACTCATCAGTTCATTCATGTACCGGGGGGTCTGAATCCCGCAGCTTATTCCCTTCATGAGTCAAGTCACCGGCAGGAGGTACGTCTTTTTGAAGACCGATCCTCGCCAAAGATGGAAAGCCCTAAACTCGACCATTCAACCGGCTTGACATGTACGGCAGCATCGCTACCTGAGAGAAGTCTGGGAAATCATGCGCATAAATGAGTTCAGACTTGTCTTTTAATTAGTTTTAGGTTGCGGCATGCGAAGCGTAAGGCACTCCCCTTGGCACAGGTAGTAGGGCCACCACGTGATCCTCAACCCACAGTCCAACTGGACCCATGCTCGGGCAGAATGGGGGGAGTGAGGTCCCAGCATCCCCTTGTTTTAAGGAGGCAGGGTAGTACCGGGGCAAGTTGAACCCTAAACCTGCCTACACCAAATACACAAGAACGTGCTAAGAAACCCGTAAGTACCCAATACTGGAGGGATCGAGTCAACTCAGCCAAGAGACCCAAGTAGGCTTCATAGACCTCAGCTGGAGGCAACGAATGGTTTTGCATATTCATCTGCTTGTCCAGCTTCCCAGTTGAAGGAGTCTTGCGGAAACTAAACCCGAAACTTAAACCCAAACCTTTGGGGGCCTACATGTGGCTATACTACCTCACACCGGAAAACCGTGTTACAGATACGAGTTTTACGTATAAGTTTAGTATATTTCGTGCGTGCAGTCCAAAGCTGCCATGCGCCGGTTTCTGCGTTTTGTTATGCCTTTAAGGTTGATAGGACCTAAAGGCCTGTAGGTCGAGAGGGTTTAAAGTTTAGCAGGCAGTTTAGTTTAGGGTATGATAAACAGGCATTGGACAGATCGTTGTTTATGGGCCTAGGGCTTTCTTGCTCTCGGCTCCACGCTGTGCAGCAAACATGCGAACCCCCACTCACCGACAGTTGCCGGAATTTACTTACCTTCGGTTAGTAGGGAATGGAAGAATGGTAGTAATAGTAGTTATACTTGTACCCCATTCCTCCATTCCCTACTAACCACAGGTAAGTTTAAGGTTCGGAGTTGTTGCTTCGATTTCAATGTCATTTTCCCTTGTGCACGGTTCGGGAAGCTCCGTGGGAGCAATGAGAGAACCATTGCCTCGCCAGGCTGAACTCGTCAGCATTCAATGAGTTTAGGGTTTAGGGTTTAGGGTTTACGGTTTAGGGTTTAGGGTTTACGGTTTAGGGTTTAGGGTTTAGAGGTTTCAAGCTCCACAACCACAAAATCAAGCCAGAAAATTTCAAGCAGACGAACCCCGAAGCCCCAGATCTTGCATGGGCCATACATGGCTAGTAAGCCCAGACGCGCACCACAGCCGCGAGTAGACTCCCACCGTGGAATTCGGCACAACCAGCAAATGGGAAGCCTCTCTCGCGGGACTGTGCCTTTATGGGCCAACACAGCTCAGAATCTAGGAGATTGTTTTTTTCCGGACTTGCTTGTGCCACCTCGGCGCGCGCTAAATTCGAAGCAGTCTGTACAGCAAAAGAGGGTCAGCTGACGGTGTGGTGCAAAAGTCACACGGTAATCTAGGAGCTTAGGGCTCAGGTTGCACGGTTCGCAGGGCTTTTTTAAAGGGTTTATTTCTGGTCAGCTTTCTTTCTGCGGCTTTGGTTCGGGGGTCAGAGCCGGGTTCAGAGCTTGCGGCTACCAGTATCACGACTAATGTTGTTACAGGTAGGGTCTGGTAGGGTATTCTCACTCGTTGGGTTGGGGGGCTTCTTAGATTGTGGTTTAAGGTGCTGCTGAATCTTTGGTGCCCGGTTTCGTAGGGTTTTAAGTGGCCCCGCAAACGACTCTCTCATGGCCGGATAAACTTAAACCATGACAAAACTTAGATACTTGAAGTATCTCAAGAGGGCTGGCTTCGGCTGGTGTGGAGGTGTCGCGTTCAGGGCGGCCCAGAGCTTTAAGCACACGCCTGCTGCAAAGCCTTCGCGAAAGGACTGTGCTCCGGCGCCACATCCAGCAGCGACGAGATGTCCAAGTTCCTCGAGTTCGGGACCCTAAATCATGAACCCTGAGACCCAAACTCTCTAAAAACTGCAACCTGAACATCTCCTGCCAAAAAGCCTAGAACCTGCTACCCTGGATCGATGATGGACTAATAACTTGAAAACGACAAAGCCCGTAGAAATTACCCAAAATCTAGGCTCCAACCCGAAAACAGCAGATCAAATTCGAAAGCCCTAAGTTAAGCACTCAAACTCATCACGACCCCTTGTTGATCATGACCCTAAACCCTAAACAGCGATAAACCCTAAACCCTTAAACCGCGGTAAACCCTATATAAACCCTAAAGAGGCGTTTAGATGACAGGGTTCAGACAGGCGGCTGTGGGTTCGCCAACAGGCAGCAGTACAAGTTCCTGCGCACCTCCAGCTGCGGCCAGGCACGCCGAATGCTGTTGCCTTAGGGCTGTAGGCTTTGCTGTCCCTCGTCTCTGCTGTTTGTCATCGTTAAAGTCTCACCTCTAAATCGGGAGCCTATATTGGAGTTCTGATTGCCTGTCTTCCAATTCTTGCCTCAGAGCTTCCAGGTTTCGGGCGTGCAACTATCCTCCCTGAACCCCTCAAACTCCTTTGCGCCCTACACACTCTACTCCCTAGAAAGCGAGCATGGGATCAGGGTGGAGATTCGGGGTTCAACATTCAGTGCATCAGTCTTGAATAATGATTGTCTTTGGGGGGGCAGGTGTATACTACACCATAATTTTGAAGGGACTATGATGGGATACTGTATGTTAGTAATTATAACAATATTCGGCCTCTATACAACAAGGATGAGGCTTGACTATCCCTCGTAAGGCTGCCAAGCCACTCAGCTGGAACAGGCCTGCAGGCTTCACAAGATGGGAGACACAGCCTACTCAGTCGTCCTTGAACTTCGTTACGAATGATATGTATAGAGTACAGAGTATCCTCCTTCCTGAGGTGGAGTGAGGATTGGCCTGGGTCCCAACCTAGACGCCCATTTCCTAAGCATGGATGTTTGGAACAGAATTTGACACGCATTGCATCCGCTAACGAAGCGGCTGCGCAAGGACTGCATGGTTAAGTCTGGCAAGCGTAAACCCCAAACCTTCAAAAGGCCTGACCTATGCAGGTTTCATCGTTGCACGGACCCGTCGACGATCTGAAGCGTTCTTGCAGGCAAAGAACGAGGCAACATTCACGCACATGAGGAACAGAATTTCTTCGCTGGCTGGGATTGGCGCTTGTCTTACGGTTTATGGGTGTCTTCGAGCCTAATGGGGACGTTCGCGGAGCTAAAATTCCTGAACTCTCCCTTACAGAATACTACGCCCACTAAACTGCGCGAGCCCCTGCAAAAAAATCCTACTAAGCATTGTAAAACGCTTTGAGGAACCCCAATACATTCCAAAACCCCTTGAGGAGCAATTTTATGACACCCCTATAAACCCTAAAACCCTAAACCACCAAAACCCTAAACCCCTAAAGCCCTAAACCCTTACAATCCTAAACACCACCCAAAAACCCCGTTGAAAGGCTACAAACGTCGGCCTTCGCACCACGAGTGCGAGACGAAAACCTCGCAGTCCAAACCTGAACTTCAGGGGTTTTCGGTGCTTTTTGCTAAGTTTTCACGGTTTAAAGGGGGTTTAGGGTTAGGGCTTTTTTTTGAAGCCTTCAGGGTTTAGAAGTTTGATTTAGGGTTTAGGGGTCCTACCCGTCCTTAAAGGCTTTAGGGCTTTCGAGTCTTGGACGCAGTCACGGAGGATCTAGAAAGTGGAATGAGGTCAGACAGCTATACTTGTACTGCCAACTAGGCTGATCCTTGTGTTTGAACAGAGGCAGTTCCGACAGAGTCATCCTGAGGCACCGCCTGGGCAGGACACAAAACGACAGGGCAAGGTTTCAGTTTGCGATGCTTCTGTGGCGCTTCGGAGGCTTGTCGTTGTCTGGTGCGCAAGCCTCAGGTGTTTTGCAGCAACCTCTGGAGCCTGCTTTGATGGCAAGAGTGCAACTATGGAAGGACTCGACCTCGTGATTCGGGCGAGCTCTGGGCTTAGGGTGTCGAAGGCTCTGAACTCTGAACTCTTTGTGCCATCACACGAGACTCTGACTTCTGGATCCGATGCGCCAACAAGAACTCTCTAATCTTTTAACAGCTCTAACCCGAAAATCCTGGCTTCGAAGCCCTGAGACTGAACCTCTAAAAGCGAAGCCCAAGTGGCCTTCCGGATGCTTCATCAGTGCGTAAGACATGCCCCCGGCAGCCAATGTCAACGGCTTCACGAAGTGCTCGTTGACCTGCTTCAGGTTTGCTTTGGGGTTTAGGCAAAAGCCCTCTGTAACGCGTTCGTACAGTTTTTCTGTGGTCAGATGGAACAGTCGACAACCGGGCAGACTGACTGAAAACGAAACCTCAATATTGCTGGTCAAGCCTAAAACAAGAAGTTACAGGCTTATCTTGCGTTTTGCCCGAGCAATCAAACTCTGGCAGCAGTGGCTCCCAACAGTTAGGACCCTGCATGCCCCAGGTCCCGCTGAATCCCACGCTACACCCTAAACTCTGCACCTCTCGATCCGCAAACCCTACTTGACACAAACCTCTACCTTCCACCGAAAACAAAGCAAAGACCAGATCAGAAACTCGCACCTCATTTCCAGCCGCTTCACCCGGAACCCTAAACTTGAAAACCCTACGGCCCATTATACTTTTACTAGAATAAGGAACCCCCAAGATAGTGTAGGTAATTATTTAGGCCCCTATGCTATAATAATTCCTAAACTCCTAAACCCTCAAGTTCAGCACAGGCCTGGTAGAGGTTGGGCCCGTGCTTGGCGTCGTGGTGCCGTGGATTCGGCATCGCCTGATGTAGCCCTTTAGGACACCCATTGCCAAAAATCTTAGGCTACTGGGGTACATAATATATACTCAACCCTAAACCCTATGGTTGTAGCAACCTACTATTTACTAAACCCTATATTAAACCCTATGCTTATAGAAACCTACTATTTCCTAAACCCTAAACCCTATGGTTATAGCAACCTACTCTTTAGGTAGCTGCTGCCCTCGGGTAAGCTCATGGCATCGAGGTTTGGAACGCTCGGAAGTCACAGGGTCAGGGAGAGATTCTGTGCTTTGTAGGGACTTAGGGTTTAGAGGGGCTTTGTAGGGACTTAGGGTTAGGGCGCAGGGCTTTAGGTTTCCAACTCCTCTCCCATAGTTTAGGTTTTGCAGCCGTTAGGTCCTACACCCAAGGCAACTGCAGAACCAGAGCTGTGAAGCATCCACAACAAGGGAAACTGACAAGCCAAAATCCCCTGAAACCCTGAGCCAAAGCCCTCTGGAGCTGGGACTTCTTGAGTGCCTAGAGCCGCAAATCCGAAAAAACCGTCAACCCTACACTGAGTTTGGGTCGTTTGGGCTTTTCGAGGTGAGCCGACATGGAACCTTGCCTCACGGCCTCAGTACTCAGGCCTCTGACCCGAACACCGTGTCGCAGTCTGTCAGCACGAATGTAACCCTCGAGTTCAGCTGAACTCGGAGATCCTAAGCACTGGGTTTAGGGTGTGAGGCCCTATAAAGCTCTTATCCTAAGGTGGGCCCAATTATGGCTTCCATCCTGAACCCTAACGATTGACTTCCACTTCCACCTTGGAGTTCCCGAATCCCTGGTTTGGCCCAAAACCGTAGCAGCCTCGTTGTCCGGGACCCTCCCATTGGCCCAAGCGGAGCGGACGTCCTGCCACGCGGCGTGAGCGCCCATTAAATAACTTATCCATATTATATATATATGTATGTCTGTGTGTATACATACATATACAAGCATATGTGATTCTCACTGTTGCTATTTCTGTTTTTATTGCTGAAAGGCTCAAGGTTCAACCCTTGCAGTGCTAAATCCTAGCCACCTACGGCTGCTATGCCGACAGGGACGCTACGTGAAGACCTTGTTACCAAGACAAGCAGCTTAACAACTCGGGCCAAAGATGGTCGCTGCCGGCCCCATCCGTCAACTAAATCCGAAGATCATGTCCCGAGGTGGCAGCCCCTCTCTTTTTGCATTAAAGTCATGACTACAAATCATTACAAATCACCCGAACATGTACTCCCAATTGAAGCAGCTGCCAAATACCAGTGAAGTCATGGCTGTCCTTACCCCGAAATGAAACTTTCAATACACGATCTACTGCATGCCTAGAGCTGCAAGAACCCTATACTGGAAACAGAAGGTGCCCTAAACCCTAAAGCCCACACCCCAAACCCGGCAGCTTAAACCCACACTTTGGGAAGTTTTCGAGTACCAACCTTGAATCCAACCGGCTCCTTGGCTCATGCTGCATAATAGTGATACATTCGTAGTATTGTAAGTTTGCTACAATTACTACTACGAATCTTATAGTCCTATTGAATCCTATTGTTTTTCGTGCACTTATTGTAAGTACGGTTCTTCTTATTCTTCGTCTTCTTACTATTAATCTGTCCTGCTGCAGCCCTGCCAGGAAACCCAGACACTTCTGCCCAATACCTCCTAAACTCCCAAAACCCGAGCTGCCAAACGCTGAAGTTACAACGGGCCGAGAAATGTGCCGCCACATGGACCCAGGGTCCACCACAAATTCGATGAACTCGAGCTTCGTGATGCACCACCTGCGAAAATGCCGAAAATCTAGCCCACAGGGCCGAAAGAACATGTGTTTACCTACACAGAGCTATGCAGCAGTCACCAACCAGATTCCGAAGCCAACATGGATAGCCGTATCACAACTCCTCTGCATCTGCCGGCAGCAATCTCGTGCAACCAACAGAAGCCCAACGGGAAATGGATCAAGGTTCGGGTTCTAAGCCCTCGTGTCTTTTGGTGCCCTGGATCAAGGTTTCGGTTTTAGGGTTTAGGCAACAGACTAGCCCATCTGCACCAATACGGTCGCGTCTATGATTCCAGACATGTGGAACAAAAATCACTTGCAGGACAGCACATCCATCACTTCGACAGCAAGCACCGGCCACAAGAACGATTGCAAGTGGGACGACGATGAAGACGGGTCGTACTATGACTACTGATGACCAGCACCCGAGTGATAGTGCTCATGCATAAACCCTGTTAACAGCTGGTCAAACAGGAATGCCTTGCCACCCTGCCACCCTACCGCCTTCATGGATGGAATCGTGTACATCACCATCGTCATGGACATCATCCAACCCTACTCATCACCAGCAGCATCTGTGGACCGACATTGTCATCAATCGCCGTAGCCGATAAAACTGCCGTTAAACCCATTACAGCACCATGAAAGCCCATGTCAGAAGCGTCAGCATTGACTACCATGATCACCATCTCCTTCGTCTGCTGCTGATCAGTCACACTAGCCTCTCACCATAACCGCCAGCACGACACTGATAGAATGACGACCACCACTTCGAATCACTACGACTACTAATTACCATCACTACTGCTAGCACTCTGCTGTGTTTGTTGTGACAGCCGGCTCACATGGCTGTCGGAACATAGAAGATGCCGCGTACCACGACCCCCTACATAGTAGGATCGCTTATATACCCTTGAACCTGAAACCATCTCTCCAGATGAACCCATGGCGAAAACCCGAAACCACGATCCTTCTGAATCCAAGAAGCCTCTAAATCCTGACTAGTAGTGGCATCCTCAAGGCTTTCCCAAGCAAAAACTTCAGGAAAACCTTACCTGGACCCCAAGTATGTAGAATAGTAACCCTTTCATTATATGATTTTAGGTATTTCGGCCATTTTTTACCTACATTTGAAGCTTATTTAAGTAAACCCTAAACCCTAGAGTTTTTAGAGAGTTCGACTTCGCACCTCTCCGGGGGGATGCGCGTGTGCGCCTCCCAGGCATCTGCCAGCTCAGCCATGGCTCGGCCCCCCCCCTTCCCAAAAAGGGTTTAGGGTTTAGGGACTGGGTTGTAGTTCTGGGGCTCTGAAAAGTATTTATGAATAGGTACCTCTATAGGAACCATAAATTGAAATGAAAAAGTTTCCCACATTGCCACCTAAGAGGACCCAATGACTAGGTACTGGGTTTAGGATAGTAGCTATGTAGGTTAGGATTTGGGAGAGTATACGATTATAAGGTACTTGGACCTTGTTAGGGCTTCATATGGTTTTCTTTTCAACACTAATACGCTTGTATATAAAAGGGGTTTACGGGGGAATCCTACTTATAGGGTTTGTTTAGGGTGTTTTGAAATTACTGTACGCTTGCATAGAAGACAAGGTTTTAAGTTTAAAGGGGACAGATACGTAGAGTTTGTATAACAGGTGTGGGGTTTAGGGTTCGGAGCCACTGTTCGCTTGTTATGTGCGGTTTCTGCAAAGGTTTTGAAGGGTCCATTGTGCTTGTACATGGGGTTCGGGGTGTTGGGTTAAGAGACCTTTATGGCCTGCGCCGCTCCAGGGTGGTCTGTGTTTGGAGGGTAGGGTTTCTATTTTCGGCTAAGGCCGCGCCAAAGCTGCAAGCCGGGTGGCAAACAGGCGAAGCAAACCTCGTTGCGATAGGTTCGGTGTAAGGTTTAGGGTTTAGAATATTTGTGCTAAACCATAAACCATGGTTTAGTGTCACAGGTCTTGCGCGGAGTCGTGTGGGACAGTCGCGCAACAAGTCGTTAGCGAGGCAGGGGCCAACCAGACTGGGCTTCTGCCCTGTGGATCCTGGATTGAAATTTTAGGCAGAAAGCTAATGTGAGTCGAAGCGACAACGCCAAAAATGCCTTCTTAATCTGGTGCTTCTGAAGCCTCAATGGCCAAAACACGAGAAGTAACAGCATCATACAAAGACCACAGCCGGAATCACACTCCCAAATTCTGCGAACCTGACAACCTCAACCCCGACCCCCCAAAACACTAGGACTAGGCACACCTCTGAACTTCAGGTCCTGTCTCGGGCTCAGGTTTCGGGCAGTAGGGCTTGCATGCCAATAGCATCGGAACGCTTCCTCTAGTGGCTTCCGCTGTACTATGCCTTGTCATGCACTGCGTGACAAGCCACGCAGGCTTAGGCTTTTTGGCAGCTATGCTTGAGCGGTTGAGACTGGAAGCCCAAAAACCCACATACGAACCTTGGCCTGCAAAGCGTCAGCTCCAAAAACTACACTCTATATCTTGAGCGCAACCCACAACCCACGCCACGGAACTAAACCTCCAACATAATCATCATACTCCCCCCTAAAGACACTTTGTGGAATCACAAACAACTCAACCCTTAAAACCACCTTACCCTAAGGGTCCAAGTACCCAGTTATCATATACTCTCCAAAATAGTAACCTACATAACTACGATCCTAAAACCGAGTACCTAATTATTGACTCCTTTGGACCCTTAGGGTTACAGAAGCCTTACTTCAGGAAGCTTGAAGAGGCCTTCTGGAAAAAGAGCGCGACTTGCGGCGTCTCTGGGGTTACCTGAGCTTGGCCTCGATGCGGCAGGGTCCCGGGGCTCTAGGACTTTCGGGTGTGCAAGGTTTAAGCTTTAAGGGTTCTCTTACTGTGAGATGTTGATCTTTGACTATTCTGGGTATAAGTATGTAAACTGGATTCAAAAAACCCAAACGGATCGTCTTCGAAAGGGGCTTAAGGTTGATGATTCATGATCCCGGGGCTGAGTCAGCGTTCCGCAGACGCCCGACCCTCCCAGACCCGACCGAGCTCAGCTACAAGCCGCTTTCCCCAAAATAAACCACGTCCCAAGCTATAAAACGTATAAGTCTAGCCTACCTAGACCCTCAAAAGTAGGTAAAGTAATGGCCCAAAACCTACAAAAAGGCTATTCTTCTACATACTTTTGGGGTCCAGGTTTATACCCTGAACCCGCGATCATAAACTCGGAACCCGAGGCTCCGCTTTAGGGTTTCTAACCTCAACACGCGGGAACTCCGAACGCACTGCTGGGCTCCGCTGCCGACCGCAGGCGCCGGCGGCTCTTCCTGCCAGGGAGCATGGGCTTGTTCAAAGCTCATTACCGCTAGATGGATGAATTCATGAACACCAGAAAGTCTGCCGACTTCAGGTATTATGCTTAACCGTATAATGGCGCATTACTATGACCATAGGAGGAGGATTGATGCAAATAGCTTCTATACGAAGCTAGGCGTGCCTCAGCTTGAATTGTAGTCATAATGCTACTTATACCATACTGATACCTTTACTTGTGCAGTTGCCTGAAACCTGCGCATTCTCATGACGGCACAGGGAAAATGACGCTCCACTTCAACTGTCCCGCAGCTACGGTCCCCTATATGTCCAACCCAGACCCTAAATCCCAAGCCCTAAACCATTCACCCCATACCCAAATTGTGCTTTCAGCGACTCTTGTTGCCTCTGTCTCTTCGGCCTCGACCAACGGACCCAGGAAATCCTGAATGCAAGCGCAAAGATTCAAAGTCACAGGGTTTAGGGTTGCGGAGATGAGGGTGTAAGTAACATCTGAGGTTCAAGGGCTCCGAGGCTTTTCCTACTCAATGCTGGGTCGACAGATGTCCTCAGACAGCAAATTCCCTTGGCAAACTTCTGGGAGTTGCGATGCAGTTGGGGACGCTACTGCTTCACCGTTACGACAGGATCCTGAATCATCAGCCTTCAGAAATGCACGGACATTCTGAAAGTCCCCTTGTCTCGTCAGCTGCTCCCTGAAGACGACCGCGCAATGCTCGTCTTCAAATTGCACCGTATGTTCGAGTGTGGAATTGGTCGTTCTATGCCCATACACAGTACTAAACGCCGTGCTGTACATTTGTTGGTCTCTTTTCATCTGATGATACTATCATGAATATCATCTTCACTCTGGGTCTTGTGATTTTCTTCGCAAGTCTTATGTACGCTCCGTTTAGCCATTTCACCATATATAGCAGATATAGCAACTGTGGACTAACGTGCAGACGCTGCAAGGGGACATGATGCGGGAATCTCATTCTTCACAGAGATCATCCGAACCACCATCATGCTCGGGCTTCGTTTAGGGTGAATGAAGCCCTTGGCGCCCTGACCCTGAATATAGGGGCCTTATTAATTAGAATAAGGTTTTGGGCTCCTTCATACTATAATTACAATAAGGAACCACCAAAATAGTATTGGTAATTATTTAGGCCCCTAAATTACACCCTCACACATAGACCCAAACCAATAACCACCAGTCCCAAACTCGTGAATCCCCTATACCCTAAACCTTAAGCTCTACAATAGCCAACCGGGCCTTGTCATCTCCATGTTCCTCGACGTAGGTGGACCTCAGTAGTTCTGGGTAGGAAGGGGGTCGCTTCGCCGGGGCTGAGGATTTATGACCTGCAGGGCTTGGGGCTTTTTTACCTGAAAAGGGCTGCAGGATAATTCAGGGTTGGACGGCGTTGGGGCTCCTGGGCGCGATCTGTACGCTCAGTGCAGGATGCTGATATGATCGGGTGCCTTCATAATTCGGACTAGAAGTTGGCTAGAAGCCTATTCATAATAAGGGAGCCTCAGGAATAATGCTGCAAGTGCATGAATATTGAATCATCCGAGCTCTTGGCTTGCAGTACTCATCGGGTTTGGGGCCGTCTCGAGGCAGTTCTCTAAACGAGACTCCCCTGGTATAAAGGTCCCCGATCTAGTTCGCACCCCGTATAAACAGGACCCAAGAGGGATCCTAAGTGAGAGAACGCCCATATCGCTCACTCATGGCATCCAACAGCCTCCTGACATCTGGGTTCAAGGCTTGGGGTTTGGGACCGTTTGGGACTTACAGCCTGGGTAGATTCGGGCAGCGGATATCCCATCATCAAACGCACCCTGGGGCACAGGCAGGCTGCAAAGCTGCAGAAAATCCGCCAGAAAGTCCACCGAATCTTGATCCACCTGTGGAGTTTAGACTGTCGTGTCGCGGCTTGGAGTTGCTGTGTTAGCAGTGGCCCTTTGTTTAAATAGTGTTGTTAAAATATTTACATGCAGCGATAGAGTTATAATACCTCTGCAGCCGTCGGGCCCGGGCCACCAAGTCCAATGGTGAACCCGTGGTTCCTGGCTTGTCGAGCTTGACGCCGCTTTCACTGCCACCTGGTCCTATATTGAACTTAGAACCCTAGCAAAAATTATAATTTTAGCTGTTTCTTAGGGATTATAATAACCAGAAAAAAATATTTCTAAGTACCCCTAAGGGTCTGTCAAAACAGAGGTGACATTGGAAGTAAGGTCCTGCTCGGACGTGCCGTTGTTCCATGAAGCCCGTAGCTTCCACAGGGGCTCCGTGCGACCCACATTGCCATCACTGCTCATGTCGGTGAACTCATTCCATAGCCGAGGAAACTCGGATACGGCTTTGTTACCCCCATAAGTTGCTTTTGTTCCAGCAAATAGTTGGGCTCAGGAAGATACTCCTATAACGGGCTTCGGGCTTACGGATCGGGGTTCTCAAAGAGCAATTCAGAACACGAAACTTGGGGAAATTTGTTGGCTGGGACAGTGATGCAACAAAACTACAGGAGGATAGTCTGCAAAACTGGGCCAAGCCTTTTTGTCGCTACGGGACTCAAACCTAGCTAGGCCTCCACCTGCCATCATCTTGAAACCTTGAACCCTGACCAGGCTGTTCAGCAACCCACTGGGAAAAATAATATACTCTTTCAGGCTTCTTACTTTATAATAGGAACCCAGAAACCAGAAAGCTAAAAAGCGTACCACTGAACAGCCTGGCTGAACCAACCTGGGCAAGATGGGGTCAGGAAGAAATGAACACCGGGACCTTCGCTTGTGGATGACCCTGGCTGCGAAATGGTTTAAGCGGAAACACATAGCAGCCTTAGCAATTAGAAGGTTTTTCGAGGGGGATTTCAGCATATGACTCGTAGTTATGTCAGGAATTGACAGTAGATGAATATCGCTAGTAGTT